ATGGGAACGGGAGTGGGTTAGTGTATCGTTGATGACGATGAGGGACGAAGTATGGTGGAATCCCCCTGATGAGACACCGGCAGGTGTCGAAACGCGTCGGGGACGCGCAACCTGTTATCTATTCGAAGGGGACGCGCAACCTGTTATCTATTTGAAATTCGTTCTAACGGACCCATGGAACATCAGCACTCGCTGTTGCGAAATGGGAACGGGAGTGGGTTAGTATATCGTTGATGACGATGAGGGACGAAGTATGGTGGAATCTCCCTGATGAGACAGCGGCAGGTGTCGAAACGCGTAGAGGACGCGCAACCTGGTATGTGTTCGAAGGGGACGCGCACCCTGTTATCTGTTCGAAATTCGTTTGAACTGATTTGTTTTTCATCTATTCAAGTACACTCTGAGAGGATTTGACTTGGATTTCGACTGTTTTTTATTTGCATCATATCAACTACTGATTGTGCGTGTGAACACCTCTGGAGTCACTTGCCGGAGGGGGTGAACACGTTTTCGTTGAACGACTGGTACTATCAAGGAAGGGAAGTTGGGTGATGAGTTGTACGTGAAGTTTGACGAACAAGAAGACGAGGAATTTGAAGCAATGGCGAACGAGCCACAGAGTAGGAGAAATCCAGGTCAAAACTTCGATCGCGGACCCCGGAGGGCGCCAGTTACGTGTTATGCATGCGGAGAGGAGGACACTACTTGAACCAGTGTCGAAACCCACGACCAGGATGGCGAGATACACACCGAGCATGACCATCCTCATCGACAGATTCCAGGAGGGGGAGGTCATACTCTCCGAAGAGATACAACCCGGGAATGTCGTACGAACACCGGGAAGTGCAGTCCCAAGTGAGAGAACTCGGGAAGAGCATGGCGACCATAAAAGAATACATCGAGAGAGACCTGGCGAAGAACGAGGAAAAAGCACGCAAGAAAGCTGAGAAGAAGGAGGCAGAAATAACGCGAGGCCAAAGAGAGAGAAGCGAAGACTCGCAAGGCAAGGAAGAAAGCTGAGAAGGCCGGAAGCGAGGAAGAGAGATTGACAACAATGAAGAAGGACATGGATATGCATGTACGAACCACGGTGAAAGGAGTGATGAAGGAATCTCGCTCGGAAATCCGCGACGTACTGCTATCCACTAAAGGGGAGCCGAGTGGAAAAGGAAAGAAAAAGGTTACCTACCAGTCCGATGAAGGCGAGTTTTCGCATTACGAGGTCGTGAGTGGAGATATGGAGGACATCCGTATAAGAACTAGGAACCTCTGCATCAACGAGAAGAGGAAGAGGGGAGCTTAGCCCGTCTTTGAGGATACTCCACCTATGGAACTCCAGCGGAAGCGTACTCCGAGAAGAACTCAACGGCGAGCCATCGCAAAACCGCCGAAGGTGACACCAAGAATGACCAGGTCCAAGACGAAGACGAAGAAGAAGGTAGCTATCTCACCGAATATAAAGGAACGCCTCGCGGCGGCCGTCAAGAGGAATACTCCAGCTAAGATTGGCATCCTCGGACGCTACATGCTCCGGGAACAGTGCATGAAGCAGTTGAAGGACTTAGACGCTATTACGTTGCAGAATATATGCAACGAGGACGGGATTCCGTACGGTGGGAAGATCGATGCTCTGTTCGACCTTGCAGAGCACCGTATCTACAAGGAGTATGGCACCGACGAGGAAGATGAGGCTCGTGATGAGGAAGCAAAGGAGCCAGAAGAGGGGGGTGTTGGAGAAGTCGGCGACGAAGCAGTTGAAGACGACCAGTGATATGCCCTTGGTATTACCGAGTATTGGAGGCTGTGCAAGTTTTCGATTCAGGCACGCTGTAAGTCCACCAAGTATGACCGCAAGGTGGAGCATCTTCTACGATGCGTTATTGTGCGATTATCCATCGCAGGCTGTATCCATTGGAATAAGAAGTGTGTAGCGGCTTGGTTGAAGTTGTACGAAGACTTTGGCGTTGATTTCTTGAATTTGATGAATGTAACCTACATTGTTGTCTCACCCTTCTGCCGAGTGCAGTATGTGGGACAGACTTGTCGAGATGTTGACGTTAGATGGAAAGAGCACTTGTATGCATGCAGGAATAAGCGGCACACTCACTTATATCGATGGTTAGCTAAGTTTGGCGCTCACAATTACATACTGATCCCCGTAGACACCTTAGAAGGCGACGATCTTAAGAAGTTGGAAGTTGTGTATATTGCACAATGGTCCCCTGTTTTGAATACATCCGGCACGGTTAAGAAGGGAGGGAAGAAGAAGAAGTCCAAAAAAGGGGCTACAGAACGAAGGGCAGCTAGTCCAAGGCCTGCGATGCCCAATCGAGAGGTCAAACCTATCAAATTTACGAGCACATAACAGACCGGGCCCTTTGGCGATCTGTTCGGATTTTTGAAGAACTGCGTGGATAGGGGATGTTTAACTCCGGATGTACGTACTACGGGGCGTAACACGTGGTATACACCTTGGAAGAAGATGAAGAGAGCTTTCGATGACAGTAAGATTAGGATCGACGGTGTCGAGAAAGCGTTGAAACAGGCTAAGGCAATTTTTGAACAGGGTGCAATCATTGCCTTTGTGCACCTACGAATATGGAAGACCAGGGGTAAGGTGTTGAAGAAGGTTTTGATTGGGATCTTGAAGAATCCTAGGAAGATTGACGAGTTGTATGGATGGAGTTTGAAATCTGTCTTGCGGTTATATGCGGTAATTAAGGATTTTAGCCGAAAGTCTACTCGAAGTACCCGAGACGCTTGGTTCAGAGAGTCTTCAAAAGTCGTTTTGATTTGAATCTGGAGGCTGATCTGATTGTTAGAGTGAAGTTTGACGATAGAATTCGTTTGTGTGAACTCCGGAAGGTCATCACTTACATGATCATGGGGAGTGATTTGCCAGATGGCTTTAAAACCCGTGCACGCAAGAAAGTCCGCCTAGTGTGGACCAAGAATAAGTTAGTAAGGGACATATTGCATGATCAGCGGCAGTTTGCTGCGTGTGATGTGCTAGTCTGCAATTGTGCAGGTCTATCCTTTCCACGTGTGGAAGGACACGTGTGCGCGAGATTGGGAGACATCTGCAAGAATCGACCTCTGATCCTGAACGCGAACAATATACCGGTCCAAGAAACCAATGGCAGGATACTAACTTTGAAAAGAGAGATTGAGGAGAGTTTCGACCAATGGTCGAACTACCGCAATAGGAAGGTGATTGTGGCGCCAGCTGAGTTGGAGAAGTGCTTTTTGAATCGACCTGAACAACTATCTAAAACTCCTGACAATGGCACAAGTGTCCGAAATAAAAAAGGAGATCGACGGCTTGGTTTACACGCCTTTGGATCGCAACCCAGGGGAAACCCTGGTTATGTGTCCTAAGATCTACCATGATGCTATGATGTCAACCTTTGTCTTGAACGAGGGGTATAGTATCGTTGGGGAATCGGAGGAGCAGAAGTTGGAAGAGATGAGACTGAAAATGAAGGATGCAGGGCTGTCGAAGCTGGTGAGATGTGACAAGAAGGGAAGTGTAGGAAATGCCTATGTGCTGCCGAAACATAAGGACGTGCAAAGATTCCGCCCGATCTGCCCCACATTCTCTGAACCTGCCGTGAAGGCTGGAAGGTTGGTCGCGAAGGGGCTCAACCATTTGTTGTTCACACTACCAAAAATATGGCACTTCAATCTGCAGGCTGTTTCGTTATTAACCGACAGTCTGGCTGCGGTAAACAGGAGGATTGGTATGGAGCAGGACAGGAGGAGTACCAATGCCCGCTCTTATGATATAAAAGACATGTTCAGTAAGCTGCCTCACCAAGACATCATGCATGCGGTTGAGTGGGCAGCTAACTTTCATGAAGGAAAAGGACGCACCTACGTGAGAGTTAACACTAGGGGAAGGGGCTGCTCTTTCGGACTGACAACAGGGGGCGATCACTGGAACCGCTTGGAAATTCAAGATATCGTGCAGTTCATCAAGATCGAGCTGCGGCACACCTATACCTACGCGACCGGAGTACTGCTAAGACAGGACATCGGCATCCCCATGGGGAAAAGCACGAGTCCACCCCTAGCGTGCATCATGTGCGCTTTTGCTGAATATAACTTTCTGAGCAGTTTGGGTAGAATGAGGTTGCATGTTTCCGGTCTGAGATTGATGGATGATGTTACCTTGATTACTCATGGGCTGAAGGAACGAGAGGAGTATGCAGTGTTTGAAAGCTTTGAGAGGAGTTACCCGGATAACCTTGTGCTGAAAAGGACGGACGAAGGGACGGGTAATTTTGACTTTTTGGGATGCCGAATCTCCACACAGGCACACTATCCATACATTGGGTGTGTGCAGATGTCGAAAAACGAGAAGAGCATCTGGGAGGAAGAGCGATTGGAATATCAGACAGGGCAGTCTTTCCAATCGTGGGGATGTAAGAGGCAGAAGAGCGCTATCATTGCTAGCTATCTCCATCGTATCGACAGGAATACGTCGGTCCGTACGAAGATCCCCATGAGGGTACTGAGCCTGAAGCCGGAGCTGAGATTGAAGGAGTTTACTAGCGAGTTCTTTATGGGGATACTCATAAGATTCGCTAAGAACAGAGACGAGATGTGGGATAGCGTAGTTGATATGTTAGGTACGTTCCGTCCAACCTAGTGATAAAGGCACCCACCGACGAGGGGGGGACAATCGACTGAGCAAGACCTACCCAGCTAAGGATGGTAGAAACTCTGAGTCCGGACCCAGTGCAGACATCGTGGAGTGAGCCCAATTTGGGGGTTTTGTGGTAAGATGTTGTTGAGTGAGTATGGTAGCAATGTGCCTTTTGTCTGTTTTGTTTTGTTTTTGTATTCTCGATTTTCGGATATAAGTAGATAAGAACTTTTTTATTTTCGGTCTTAATTAGATAAAAATTTGTTGTTAGTAGAGAAGTGGATATAAATTTTTTGGTGTTTGGGAAGACATTAGTAGAGCATCCCGTGAGGCTGACAGCTCTGTCTTGTGGTTGCTTACTGCAGATATTGGAACAGGGTTTACAACCATGTACTTTGTTTTGCCACTGTTTACGGCTATGTTTAAACGGTTTTTTTCTGTGTATGTCATCAGTCTGGTACTTTTTCGGCTGACCAAGACTGAGTCCATAAACAGCCCAGTATAGGCCTTGGTTTTGAGGTGAACCAGTACCGACTCCTTGAACTGTCTGGTGGGGCCGACCTTCGACTATGGACCCGGGTCCTGTGTCGGACAAGGACCAATGGCACGGGTGTACCGAGCGAGGTGGGCCCGTCGTAGTAGTCATCAGGACTAATGTTTTTTTCGCATTTTGTGTTCTGTCAGCAATCGGTGTACACATATATAAGATGTACAATCAGTTTGGACTCCCTTTCAGGTTCTAACGGACCCATGGAACATCAGCACTCGCTGTTGCGAAATGGGAACGGGAGTGGGTTAGTGTATCGTTGATGACGATGAGGGACGAAGTAT